TGGCATGACATTGATTGTGCATTTAAAATACATAATAAAATACAAATAATATATGTATATGTATATGTATAATATAATATAATAATATAATAATATATGTATATGTATATGTATAATATACATCCATTTCATACTACTATTTTCAAGTCAACGAAAATTCAATAAATGATCTGAAAAATATAAAATTATTTACTCGCATTAGGAAACTTACCTTAGGGCAAAATAACACTTACACCTAATTTAAGTTTTTAAATTACTATTGCTTAGTAATTTCGTTTAAAACACGTTGTTAAATTACTATATAAAGACGACTTTTTAGTTAAAATTGTTTATATATCTAATGGTCAGGTAAATGTTTACTAAAGTTATTATTTAACAATATTTTTTCCAAACGACAAAATAACTTTTGTACACACGAAAAGTGACACATTATTTACAGCTCTAATATAATTCATTAAAAATGTCAAACGTTTTATTAACTTATTTAATTATAGAAATTTCCTTGAATTTGATACTCATACTAATAAAACTAACCCTCTCCAATCGGATGCCGCCGCTCCGGCGGCAAAATACATATAAATTTGCGAGTGGAAAGGGTTTATATATAAGAAATAGAAATAATTCTGCTAATATAGTACATTCATTCCATATTGTTTTGATTCAAAAATATTTTGTTTTCGTGTAGGTAAGTTTTATAAATGTTGTTTTTTCACAACCCACAGGATGCTTTTTTAAAACATATGCATTCCAATTGGATGGGATAATCAACAGTGAAAAATAAACAAATGTCGTTAACATCTTGTAAAACATTCTTAAAAAAAATTTATTCACCTTTATAATTAATGTTAATTTTTATATATTTTAGCTACTGTGATGTAGTTTTTTATCTATGGTTAAGATCGTCTAAGCAATTTCTTCACAAATAATTTGACAAAACTTTTTATGCTGATATAATTCATGTTTCACTAAAATACCGTTGGTTTCCGATAAGGGGTGTTAATCATAAAGGTGAGGGTAAAAGTTTTAATAACCGTCCAAAAATCTAAGGCTTCACGTTTCAGAGGTTTCTGAGCATTCTGGCATACCTTAAAAAAAATGGATGTGTGTGTGGATAAAAATTTTTGTGGAAAATTATTAAAATGGATATATACAATTATATATCAATTTATACACTATTTTCCGATTATATATGACCTCGATATTTAAGAAAAATAGATATATACATTTATATATTGATTTATACACTATTAAGCATTTATATATCGGCTGTATATATTAGAAAAATAGAGATATACAATTATATATCAATTTATACACTATTTTCTGATTAAAGATGGCCTCGTTATTTAAAGAAATTGGATATATACATTTATATATTAATATATAAATGTATATATCCAATTTCTTTTCAATCAATTGATTTATACACTATTTCCCAATTATATATAGCCTCGGTATTTAAGGAAAATAGATATATACATTTATATATCGATTTATACACTGTTTCCCGATTATATATGGCCTCGGTATATAAGAAAAATAGATATATACATTTATATATCGATTTATACACTATTTCCCCATTATATATGGCTTCGGTATTTAAGGAAATTGGATATATACATTTATATATTGATTTATACCCTATTTACCCTTATTGTATATGGCCTCGGTATTTAAGGAAAATGGATATATACATTTATATATTAATTTATACACTATTTCCCCATTATATATGGTCTCGGTATTTAAGGAAAATGCATATATACATTTATATATCGATTTATACACTATTTCCCGATTATATATAGCTTTGGTATTTGAGAAAAATGGATATATACATTTATATGTTGATATATACTCTATTTTGAATTTATATATCGACTGAATATATGAAAAAATGGATATATACATTTATATATTGATTTATACACTACTAGGCATTTTTATATCGGATGTATATATTAGCAAAATAAATTTATACATTTATATATTGATTTATACACTACTAGGAATTTATATATCGGATGTATATATATAAAAAAAAGTTCAAAATTTTCAAAAAAAAAAAGTTTCGGTACGGGAAGTTCCACCAATTATTGTGCGATATCTTGAACCACTAATTCAATTTCTAATTATAGAAAATTGAAATAAATGAAATTTGTCTAAACATTAAAAAAAATGTTAGGGGTCGACAACCCCCGATAAAAATAAATAGTACTGTAAAGTAAAAAAAGTTGCATGTATTTTGTTAAATTTCAATTAAAAGAATTAAAATAAAGGATATTGATCTCAAAATTAAAAAAGTATTAGGGTTGACAAGCCAAATGTCAAAAATATTCATTGATAAAAAATTACTGAAATACTAAAATGCCTGTAAAAAATAGGGGTTGGTAATAAAAAAGTAAAAATTCAGGGTTATTATAAAAAAATTAAAACCAACAAAATCGTCCAAAAATTAAAACAACAAATTTAAGGGTGAACAATCTTTATCACTTAGGCGTTTGAAAAAATAGATAGTAGCCGATTCTCAAACCTACTGAATACGCATGTAAAATTTAGTGAAAATCGGCCAAGAGAAGAACGAGAACAAACAAATCCAAATCAGTATAAGACAATGTTTTCTGAACATGTCATTAGTTTAAACCATACAATTATTATCAAGAATCCTATTATTTTACATAAGGAAAAGAATGGTGACCTCAGAATTTGCTAAATCAGTTTTTAAACCCTCATTGCGTTAATAAACGAAATTCTGCTATTTAAGTACATCATAATATTATCAATATTTAAAAAAATAATTTTTCAAATCTTAGACTCTTGTTGTTTTTCAATTTTAGTCTTTTTAATACTTATATGTTCATATTTTTGATATTGTATTTTCTCTAGTTGTTATCCCCACAGTTTAACTATCCTTGAAACCCACTCCTGCATCAACTTTCGTGAACCCTTCGTCTATTATCGGGTGCGTTCGGTCTTGGCTCGTAATACGTGTATACTACTTAACTCTTTGGATTAACTTTAAAACAATTTTTTTGTACTTTATTTATTACATATGTTTTATTTTTTAATTAATGTTAGTTTAAATTTTTGTGATTGTTTTTCCTGGTGTGGTGTTTATTCATTTTATTACTTAAATAATAAAACTTAAGTATTAACTTCCCGTAGGGTAAGTTATAGTAATCGCAAAGAAATCGAAAATAAAAATGTTTATCTATCTTTACGTTTCAAAGGTTTTTGGACATTTTGGTATACCTTAGAAAAAATGAATGTATGTGTGTGTGTGCGGATACAAATTTTCGTCGACGATTTCGAGAACACCGATCAACCGATTTGAGTAATTCAAAAAACATTCGATTCGTATTGATAAGGAGACGTGCTGATTAGTTTTTGGCGAAGGCAGGTCTAGTCGTTCCGAAGATACGGGGCAAAAATTGCCAAAAACGATAACTCAGTTTTTAAGAGAACGGAGCGTCCGATTTTAATAACTCAAAAAACATTTTACTTTTATTGACCAGATGAAAAACTGATTACATTTTTTGGATTGCAAGTCCAGCGGTTATAGACTCTCAATAAAATTAAGTTAAAAAAATGTCATTTAGCGGTCAAAAATGTGTATTGGATACATGTACATCAAATTATCAGATATTTTATAGATATTTTAATATAATGTGTACACATTTTGTGTAATTTTTTTTTAGTTCCGTACCAAGATTTTTAATTACGGTACGGGAAGTTTCAGCAATTTGTCTTAAGGCACGATGCCATGCACCCCACTAGTTTTGTTCGATATTGAGACCTATCTTGAAGAAGAAACTTAAGTTGAAGAACAAAAAATAATGAATTATATTTATACGTTTCGAAATGGTATGTGTGTCATCATTCAGCATTTTTTTTATATTTATACATCAGTATCTAAAAGAATTTTTACAAAAATTAAAAAGATTAAATTATTATAGATTAATATATTACAGATTAAAATAAAACTAGTGGGGTGCATGGCATCGTGTTTTAATTTAGTTTTATTGAGAATCCATAACTGCTGGACCTGTTTTCCCGAAAATTTAATCAGTTCTTCATATTGTCAATACAAGTAAAATATTTTTTTAAATTAATAAAATCGGACACTCCGTTCTTTTAAAAACTGAGTTACCATTTTTGGCACTTTTTGCCCCTTATCTTCGAAACGGCTCGACCTGCCTTCGCCAAAAACTAATCAGCCATGTCTCTTTATCCATACGAATCGATCAATTTTTTGAATTATTCAATTCGGTTGATCCGTGTTCCCGAAATTGTCGACGAAAATTTGTATCCGCACGCACACACACACACATACATACACATACATCCATTTTTTCTAACAAGGATGAAATTTGGCACAATGGTAGATTTTATGCCCAAACTGACCGTGTTAAAATATTAGAGGCCTATAAAAAGCGGTTTAATTATAAAAATTAATTCAAGTTTGCATTTAAGCAGCGCACATGCATCGCAGTGTACACATAGCATGGAGCGTTCTTTTAAATAATTTTTATAATTAAATCGCTTTTCATAGGCCTCTAATATTTTACTATGGTCAGTTTGGGCATAAAATCTACCATTGTGCCAAATTTCATCAAAAGCCCAGACGAGCAATGCGCGGGTTCTCCTTGTAAGATATGCCAAAGTGTTCAGAAACCTTTGAAACGTAAAGATATATAAAAATTTTCATTTTGGATTTTTTTGTGATTACTATAACATGCCCTATGGGAAGTTAAAATATATATATATATATATATATATATATATATATATGCATGTATATACACTTGTATATATATTGTATATCAGCCACTACATTGAACATATGTTCAATTCAGTGCCAACCACACAACAAAAAGACTTGACATATGAGCAACTAGAAAGCAAGTCAAGGTTTTCCAATCACGGAAACTATTATTATTTTATTTAAGTCCATCCTTAAAAACAATTCATTAATTAATAAGTATTTAGTGAACGAAAGTGATAAATATAAATATAAATAATTAAATATAAAAAATAACTGCAAGTGCTTTTGTGAGAAGAAATCAGTTCTGTGTTTGTGTGACTGAACAAAACAGCGCTGTGTAAAACACTCGCTGTATAAAATAATAGGTAATAATAATAATTTAATTTAATATTTATCATTAATAAACATATTTAATTGCATTTAGTGCAAAAGTTAATTTCATAATTCATCATTTTTTATCATCTTGTTGTTTTGTTCTCCATCTGTCAATTACCAGCCATGGCTGTCAAATCACCAAGTTAATCAATCTTATTTTGTGTTTATATTTATTAGTTATTATTTATTAAACAATGCATTGTTAATTTATCTAGAATTTTGAATTTTAAAATTTACGTATACATACAGCATGAATATTTGGACCACGAATTTAAAATTTGCAAGTTGTATAATTGGTGCTGATTGAGGTAATAGAAAATTCAATATGAAATAAATATAAATACAATTTGGACTACATTTGTAAATTAAGTAAGATAAAACAATATTTATGTTATGTTAATTGATGTATACTACATTGCATAAGAATTTTTATAAATATGCTCCATTTGGAAGCAGATTTTAATAAAAATTTTATTAATTGTTATGGTAATCAGTATCGAATACTCTTGCTTTGAATAAAAATATTCATTCATGAGTCTATATACATTTTTTTATTTAATCGACTGATTAAACAAGTTATATATATATATATATATATATATATATACACATATATATATATGTTTTTTATTTCGACGAATGGGCTGCCAGTTACTTTGAATATATATATATATATATATATATATATATTCATTTATTTATTTATTCATCGTCCAAAGCAATACTATAATGAGTTTACATTTTATCATGTACGAATCATATTATACTAAAGACAATAAAGGAGAGAATATATGGTATTTTAAATTACATAAACATCTTTTAAGATATATATATATATATATATATATATATATATAACACTTTGTATAAATAACAAATATGCAACACTAATTCAATTTAAAACAAAGACTGCTTTAAATATATCAATCTCAGAAGCCATGTCTAACTTATTTCAAGAGTCTGTATATATTTCTTATTTAATCGACTGAGTAAGCAATTTCTTCTTCTAACATATTGTTGTCTTAACATCGAGTATATTGCTCAAATAATAATAATGTTTTCATTTTTCAATCACAAATTACAATTAAAATCTTCAGTGTAAATGAAATTGCTTACAATATACTCTATTCAGTAGCTAAATATTTATACCAATCACTCTCGAATATATGTAATTTAAATAATTTTAATAATACTTTTTGCAAGTAAGCAATTTCTTCTTCTAATATATTTTGTCTAAATTTTTTATTAGATAAAATATTCAACTGTTTAAATATTATGTTTAAACTACATATACATTTATCTTATTCTCTTCATTACACTATAATACATTATAATAATATCCATCCTTGTCCCTTCATCTTCGACACTTCAGATTTATTTTCAAATATCTCTGTATATATTCTCATGTATAGTACTATGTCAAGCATTGTAAAAGATAGTTGGTGTTTTTCTTATTTTCAAAAATTAAAAATAATTTGAATAAAATATTAGTATATAATTTTTACTGTTTTGAAATTACACTGAAGATGAGGCATACCATGGTCTCGAAACTTCTGTAATTATTAAATAAAGTGTGTGTTAAAAATCTGAGTGTTGTATTGTTCATATTTAACATTTAATTATACTAGTATTTATACATACTATTCTAGTTAATAAAATAAAAAGGAATAAAACAGTATTATAAAAACAATTTAAATTTTTCTTCAAAGTTGATAATTATATTTTTTCCCGTTTTTATCTTTATTATTACAATGTTCAACTTATATTTCCAAAATAGACTATACTTAGAAGTATAATTAATAAAACTACAGTCAGTATCAAATATATTTGTTTTAAATAATTTTAATTCAGGAGCCCATAACCTGTTAATGTAATAATTGATCAATTTCTTCATCTAATATTCAGTCTTTAGTTATCGAGTGTATAATAAGTTTATGATGACTAAAAATATTACATTAATTTTATTGTTGCAAATTTTAATTTTAATCTTTCTACAGATAATTTTGTCAAAATGTTGTATAAGTAGAAGTAGAATTAATCACCTTTTATTGAGTAGTCAGTACCAGATACATTTACTTCAAATTAATAGATTAATTTATAGATGTATATAGATTATTTTTTCTTCTTCTGATATATTGTGTATAACACAATCAGGATTACAAAAAATATACTGATTTTCCTCTCTGTATAATTAATTCCTCTCTGTAAGAATAACAAATTGTTATTAAATTCTTTTTGCAGATATTTTTGTCAAAATATTGTAAGCTAGAAACAATAAAAGTTGATTAATTAGTTATACTATTGACTAGTTTTTCTTCAAATAACTATAATCATTTACGAGATTTACATCTTTTATTACTCGAATGATTAAACAGTTGCTTTTTTTAATATATTGGGTATAAAATAAAATTATGATATACATGTTTCAATTATAATTTAAAATTTATTTCTTTTTCCAGATAATTTTGCCAAACCATGGTAGATGTGCAATCCTCAAATATGCCAAAAAGTTTATATCTGTTAAGCATAGCTTGCGTAGGTTCAAATTTGCACAAAAGACCTACGGATAAAAATGTCTTACGAACTTTGCCAGATAATGTCCTCATGGATATATATTACACGGTGAGTTCTATCATGTCAATATATGGATTATTAGGATTATCTTTTTATCACATTAATAATTTGATAAGAGGAGTTCAAACAACAATTCGAAATCTGCTAATGATAATAATAATAATTTTTCATTTATTATAAAATATATATATATATATATATATATATATATATATATATATATATATATATATATATATATGTTTGTGTGTATCCCTTCAGCATGCTCAACCTTCAGACAAATTTCTATTGAATCAAATTGATATAGATCAATCAATTTCAATAGAAACATGCTACAATCTTAAACTATTTATAGCCATTGTTAGTTTGTTTTATAGATGAGAAAAAACTGCGGTTCGGGGTCCAAAAGGGATATTTTTGATAAAAACAAAATATTTTTTAAATAAATTTCAAAATATATATTTATTGTGATAATTTTAGAATAAATAAATCACAAACGCCACTGCTTTTATATTACCTCAATTTTAATTGTTTCCCGAATTCATAGAGGCGCCACTAGCTGTAGCACGTAAATCTACCCCTAGGTTTAATTCCAGAATAGAATCTAGATAGAGAAATGATAATTCTGCTTAAATTGAATAAAATAAATTAGAATATACGAGTATAATATATATTTTCAAATAAATCACAATTAATTTTGTTTTCCGAATTCATAGAGGCGCCACCAGCTGTAGCACGTAAATCTACCCCTAGGTTTAATTCCAGAATAGAATCTAAATATAGAAATGATAATTCTGATTAAATCGAATAAAATAAATGACCACATAGGCGTATAATATATATTTTCAACTAAATCACAATTAATTTTAATTGTTTCTCGAATTCATAGAGCCTAGCACCAGCTGTAGTACGTAAATCTACCCCTAGGTTTAATTCCAGAATAGAATCTAGATATATAAAAGATAATTTCAATAAAATCAGTGAGAATATACGAGTATAATATATATTCTCAACTAAATCACAAAAATAATTAAATTAAAAAAAAATTAAACGTTTAAGTTCAAATTAGCTATTTACATGATTTACAATTTTTGTTTTAATTTTACAATAATATTTTGTATTTGAACCTAAATTACTTGAATTAAATTAAAACTATACGTATATCCTAATTTTGATAAATAACGATGTACATTAATAGTTTTATTAATTTTGATATATAATATATTTAGTACCTTACAGGTGCATGTCGAGTTTTTAATTACCTTTATTCTTAATTTTTATTACTATATTATTAATTGTTTATAATTTATTATAATATATATGTGTGTGATAAAAATAAGAGTTCACCTTCTTGAAAAAAATATAGTTTTTTTAATGTCTTAATGAATTTATGAGCCAAATAATGAGTGTTTTTTGTTTATATTATATTTATTATGGCATTTAAATTATGTCGGAAAATATTTAGTGCCAAGATTTGTTTAGAATACAATCAGATTATAAATCATTTGCTCATATAAATTTATTTGTTTATAATAAACATTGACAAACTGCAATTTTATTTTGCAATATGATTTATAACTAAATATGATTTATGACTCAAATCAATAAATATACACAAACATATACACCAATAATTTGTTTCACAAATTACTTCCAAATGGTCGTCAGTTATATATAATTTTAAATTTATTTTTTTAAATTAATAAAATTATTTTAATTTTTTTTAAATATTTAAATTATTTTAATTATTACAGTTTAGGTTCTAAGATAGCTATTAAAATTTATGAATTTATTCCTGTGAATTTAGAGTTTCTTTCTTTTTCAATAAGTATTCTAGAATTTGTGCCCCCCTTTCTTCAGGAACTTTAAAGTATTGAAACTAAAAATTTGAATAAAATTTAAATTATAAATTCATATAAAATAATAATTTATAAGTTTTGTGTATGTTGTGTATTAGAGCGGGTAAAACCCTTATCTTTCGGTCAATGCACGGGACGTCAGAATTCATTTTAGAGCGATGGTTTCTTCAGCAAAGTATCTTACTTTGATCCCTAGTATCCGAAAATCATATATGCCTAAGTGACCTTTTTTAAATTGACCCGCCCTATTGTCTTAAATGAGTAAAATTCTGAATTTGTGTTACTAAACTTTGTTTTTTTATTACGGTTGTGTGTATATTTTAATCTTAAAATGCTATTTCATACTTTGTGTCTATTTTTGAATTTTCTGTTTGTGGAAATATTTTGTAAAAAATTGCAGAATCTATTTTTATAAAGATAAGAGACACAAAGATATCACACCATTCACACAACCTCTATTTTATTTATAATCATGTTATATATTCACTTAATGTTACTAGATATTATATAATTTAGCAGTTGTAACAGATATTGTAATAAAAAAAAATTACACGACCTATTTCTCCATAAATTCATCAAGTTGCATTAAGATATACACACAAATATAATAAAAACATGAAATATAATAAAAACATGGTTCAATATACACATGTGACTCAAATTATTATCAAATATAATTTTTAGTTACTGTGTAATTTATTTAATTTTTAGTAAGCCTTAATTAAATATTATTTAATTTCAATCCTCCAAAGACAAGAAGTAGATTTTTTTCTCGTTTAAATTAAATTAAAAAGTGTATAAATGAATGAATATTTTTAAAATTTCTGGAGAATGAAACATGGGAAAAATAGAAATATTTAGAAATGAATATTTCTTTGAAAAAAGAGGTTTTTAATTCAGAAAAGTAAAAGCATATGACGAAAGTGAAAGAAAATAAAGTCATAATATAATAAGGGAAAAGAAAAATGATATAAGCAATAAGGGAAAATAATATAAGAAATAAGAGAAAATAATATAATAAATAAAGGAAATAAGGGAAATTAATATAAGAAATTAGGCAAAATAATTTAAGAAATAAGGGAAAATAATATACTCGTATGAAATAAAGGGAAATAAGGGAAAATGACATAAGAAAGAGGTTTTTGATTTAGAAAAGTAGAAGCATATGAAGAAAGTTCAAAAAATAAAATCATAATATAATAATACTTAAATCTCCTGAAGAATGGAATGTGGGACCCTAAGAACGCAGAAGATATTTAAAAATGAAATTGAGTAAATAATTTTTCGAAATACATGTTATATGTATCACTCTTTTATTCGCAGATGTTACAAGAAGAAGAGATTTGTAATTTATCAATGGAGTTGGGCGATCTAGAGATTTTTGCAAGACTTTTAAGGGAGCTAAGTGCCAGAATAAAATTACTCAAATGTTTTCAGGTAAACAGTCTAAATTTTTATTTAAATTATTTGAATGAATATAAATTGTGATTTTGTTTTACCAGGCTGTGATGGATCATAAATCAAACTCGGCCAGAGATTTATCAGATCAGATGGCAGAGAAATGTTCAGAAACTGATCCACAAGATGAAAAAAAGGCAGTGGAGACTATACAATTAGGTCTTAGATTAGGTCAGTATAATTTTATTAATACAGTATTAAAATGGTCTACTTATACTTATCAAAATGTAAAAAATCTAATGCAGTCGGATCATTCAGTTTATTCTGACCAGAAAGCATCTAATTTAGTTTTAATTGAGTTCTTTTAGAAGTTTCTTTTTGAATGGACAAAGAATCTAAAACCTTCTGTTTTGAACTCCTGTTAAATAGTAGATTATTTCAAACAAATTGGTACATAATTTCAGTCATATTGATCAAAGATTAATGTACTTACAAGAACAATTGAAAGTTTTATTTGCACTTCTTCGAAACCAAGTGCTATCAATATTTTTCGAAGTAAAACTTCTTTGGGCGCGACTAGGGTGTAAATCTGTGAAAATGCAACGGAAAAAGCGTTACGGCCGAGTCGAGTGCCATTGATACGTCGTTCGCTCTCGATAATATCATTTCTATACGGGTCGATTGTGATTGGTCGTCGTGTCGCGTGAGAGTGTTCTTTGCTTCCCCGCATGCGAGAGTTTTTTAAACGTCCTAGTAGATTTCTTGATTTAATAGAAAATGTCTAGATCGGAAAAATATTTTATCCCGTCTTCATTTAATAATCTTCATGAAAAATCTGTGCCGTGTAAGAAACGTAAGTTTATTGAAGTTAAACGAAGCAGCGTTTAGCGGCGTATTACTGTATTTATAAATTAAATTAACGGCATGTTTTGTGAATGATTCCTATTTTTGTTATATAGTTATTTTATTCTGTTAGTTATCTAATTTATTGTTTTATATTAATCTTCTATCCTCAGGTGGGTTTTTGTCAGATGCTGGATGGTTCACACATAGCGAAAGAGTTCTATTATGTGTTCGTACATTATGTCACGATTGCAAACGAACTGAAAGAATGATGCATCTGACATTACAGTGCTATCAAAGGTATATAATTAAAATATTAAATATATACAAGCAATAGTATTGCATTTTCTAATTAGTAAATTGTTTGTTTATCTTTTTCCAATAGATTGTTGCACACACAATCAATATTTTATCGTTTGGAGGCTGCTTTGGAGACTGCAAAAATGTCGACAGAATTAGTTGAACAAGTTTTACATGGTCAGAGTTCTTGTTCTAAACCAGAGCAAGGTGAGTTGATATTTTATATTACTTTATGTAAAAGTATTTGTAGAACAAAAAAATTGCAACTGTTATTTGTATTATGTTCATAGAAATCATTTTTATCAATATGCTATAACTAGGGAATGCAAAACCGGTATACCGAAATACCGGCATACCGAACTACTGGTATATCGAAATACCGAAATATCGGTATGCATTTTTTAGCAATATTAATACCGGTATTTTTGGTATTTTTACATAAGTGCTAGTTGATACACATTGCGCTCATCGTTCTATAGTATAAACAAATGTCGAAATATTATCTCAACTTATCATTAAAATGAAAATTTATTGCTTTCCAAAGGGCTTCATATATTGTCTAAGTAAATAGAATCGAATTAATAAATAATAATGTTTATTTAATCTTTTAAGCTTATGTAAAAATGTTTAAATGTTTTTTAAAGTGGCATCTGCGCGAAAATATTTTATATCAACAATTATAGTATATTAATATTAGGTAATACAATTTACTATAATAATATTAAATATAATAAATATTATGTTCGTTAATGAGTTTTTGGTCTTCCTTACTCTAACGTTTGATTTTAGTGAAAGGTACTTAATGTAGTACTCAATACTGATATTCAAATACAATTGATTTGATGATCAAATACAATTATTGTTTTTTAACTTCCTGTGGGGTTAGTTATAGTAATCGCAAAAAAATAAAAAATGAAAATTTTTATATATCTTTACGTTTCAAAGGTTTCTGAACATTTTGGCATACCTTAGAAAAAATGAATGTTCATGTGTGTGTGTATATGTATGTGTGTGTGTGCGCGGATACAAATTTTCGTCGAAGATTTCGGGAACACCGATCAACTGATTTGAATAATTAACTAGTGGGGTAGGTGGCATCGTGCCTTAAGGCAAATTGCTGGAACTTCCCGTACCGTAACGAAATGTTCGAGGAATATTGAATGTTTTCAAATAGATTATTATAAATATTGTAACATTGTCTAATATTTATAAATATTATATAAACTGAATTGCAGAGTTGAAATTATTTGTAAAGTATATTAGAACTATAGTCAATATTAAAAATAAATATTTTCGAAAATATTTCGTTCTTTGAATCATCTAAATCGGACGCTTAGTTCTCTCAAAAACTGCCATTTTTTACATATTTAGCTCCGTATCTTCAAAATGGCTGGGCCTGCCTTTGCCAAAAACTAATAAACACTTCTCCCAATCATTACTAATTGAATGTTTTTTAGATCATTCAAATCGGATACTCCGTTCTCTCAAAAATACGATTTCTATTTTCTGCACTCTTTGCTCCGTATCTACGAAACGGCTGGACCTGCCTTTGCCAAAAACTAATCAGCTCTTTTCCCTATCAATAGGAATCGGATGTTTTTTGAACCATTCAAATCGGTTGATCCGTGCGCCCTAAAACGTGACTGGAAATTTGTATCCACACATACATACACACACACACACACATCCATTTTTTCTGAGGTATGCCAAAATGTTCAGAAACCTTCAAAACGTCGAGAAATGTAAAAATTTTCAATTCCGATTTTCGGCCCATTACAATAATTTACCCTACGGGAAGTTAAAAAAACATTCGATTCGTATTGATAAGAAGAAGTGTTGATTAGTTTTTGGCAGAGGCAGGTCTAACCGTTTCGGAGATACGGGGCAAAAAGCGTCAAAAACGGTAACTCCGTTTTCAAGAGAACGGAGCGCCCAATTTTAATAATTCAAAAAGCATTTTACTTGTATTGACAAGATGAAGAACTGATTAAATTTTTGAAAGGCGGGTTTAGCGGTTTCGGAGATTTAGTAAAAAAAAGTAAAAAAATGCCATTTGACGGTCAAAAATGATCATTAGACATATGCACATCAAATTATCAAATATTTTATGGAGACTTCAATAATTTAACGTCGTTTATTCGTTAAGCGGCGACGCGGCGCTCACGCGCTTCTATACTGCAGCTAAAGCAGTGCGATTGCCTTGAAAAAATTCCAAATTTCCAAAATATTTCAAAATAAAAATAAATTCCAAAAGTTTTTTTTTCCAAAAAACTCCATTTTTTCATAAATTCAAAAATTCTCAAAAATCTAATTTCTTTCAAAGTTAAAAAAATGAATCTTTTTTAAAAATTTAATTTTTGGTACGGGAAGTTTCAGCAATTTTCTTCAAGACGCGATGCCATACACCACTAGTTTTATTGTATAATTGCATATAGTTGAAGTTGTATATATAATTTTTTAAATTTGTACAAATAACTATCAATTTTGTTTATATTTAAGACGATAAAAATACCGGTATTGCCGGTTTTAACATAAAAAATACCGAAATACCGGTATTGAAATTTCTTATCGGTGCATTCCCTAATAGCAACGTTATCTGAGAAAAGTCCCATAAATATCCTCTTCTCAAATATCATTTATTCATTTTATCCAGATGATCCTGGTGAAAGTACTTCTAGTGAAATATTACTGAATTGTCAGAGTTCCATTTCTTCGGATAGTGAAGATAATTTCAGTGAAGCTGGTCCTTCTGAATGCTCTTCGTGTGAAACAAAAAATCTTGCCATATCATCAGAGTCAACTGCTGCATCATCAGAAAGGTCATATTTTTTTAATCCGGATATTTTTGTTAAAAGCAATTATTCTTTGTGCAATCAAGCACCAAATGATGGACTTGGCAGACATTTGGCAGCTTTGTATGCTGAGCTTTCACGCTTGTGGTTTAATAGAAGTGATTACGATGCCAGTTATCAGTATAGTGTTAAGGCTTTGAAATATTTGAGAGGCGATGCTCCTGCCAAGTAAGTGATAATAGATATATAAACTAAATTTATTAAACTTACCAAAGATTTGCTTAAAAGTTGTTTATGACTTTATAGATGGCTATAATTATATTTTTACTATTTCAGAGTTAAGATTGATGTTCTTCGTCAAGCAGCCAAATCTTGTGTGGTAAAAAGAGATTTTGCAAGAGCAGGGTTGTTGATCAGATTAGCCGTTTACTTAGCCAGAGAAACATTTGGATTGAAACATCCTAAATACTCGGATGCTCTAATAGATTACGGGTTCTATTTGCTTAATGTAGATTCTATAGCTCACAGTGTCAAAATATATAAGGTAAACTTAATAGATTATGAATCTCTATCATGTTGTAAAACTGTATTCAAATGTCTTTATGTTTTCAGGATGCTTTAGATATAAAATATGCCATATTTGGAGTATACAATCTTCATGTGGCCATAGCACATGAAGATCTTGCCTATGCACTCTATGTACACGAATACAGGTATTTTTAATAAACATTCTATATTTTTTTAACTTCCCGTAGTGTAAGTTTTAGTACTGGGCCGAAAATTGAAAATGAAAATTTTTGCATTTTTTCACGTTTCAGAAGTTTCTGAACATTTTGGCATACCTCAGAAAAAATGGATGAGTGTGTGTGTTTTGTGTGTCCGCAATTTTTTGTCCACGTTTTCGGGCGCACGGATCAACCGATTTGAATGGTTCAGAAAACATTCGATTCCTATTGATAGGGAGATGTGCTGATTAGTTTTTGGCAAAGGCAGGTCTAGCCGTTTCGGAGATATGGAGCAAAGTGTGCAGAAGTGGTGATTAGTTTTTGGCAAAGGCAGGTCCAGCCAATTTCGAAGATACAGAGCGAAATGTACAATAAATGTCAGTTTTTGAGAGACCTAAGCATCCGATTTGAGCGATTCAAAAAGCTTTCTGCTTATAATGCAATCCAGTCATTTGGTGCAAAAAAGGCTGTTGCCAATATAGTACTGCGGGAATTCTGAAAGTTGGTAATCCTATAGATTTATAAAACAGAACAATCAAATATTGTACGAACAGTACGAATTAAACTAGATAAAATTTCCTACAATTCATTATCCTATAGGAAGATCCGATATTGCGGCGCGAGCAGCAAAGACTTTCAGGCGCTCTTGATTTTACAAAAAAAAGGTTATTGAATGAATTATAGGAAATTTCATCTAGTTTAATTCATACATAGCTACTTTTATCGTAGAATGAGTTAGAAAAGAGATATTCTAAAAAAAAACTGTTTTTTGGCGCCATTTTTCCATTATGGCGGCGACTTGCCGTAAAAATTTGAGGTAGCAAAGTTGAAAATGGTGAAGAGCAGCACCTCGAAATCTATAAGATTACCAATTTTTGGAATTCTCGGAGTACTATATCGACAAAAGGACTTAATGACTGGACTATTGACGAAATGATTGTTTTTGGGAAAAGCAAAAAAAAAATCAACATTTACAGGTCATGAAACTTACATTATGATGCCCTCGACCGGGTATACTTATAAATCACTCGAAAATTAATATATTGATTTCTTATGGCTTAAGTTGCTTATTCACACTTGTATGCAACTTGCCTTCAGGCAAAATGCCACTAACACCCAGTTCATAAACAGTTGTTTTTTAATCCCTAATTAAAATTCTGACCCTGACCCTGACTCTGAGTGATGAGTTTAATTCAAAAATGTTTTAAGTAGACTATTATATTTTTCAGCTCTGGGCGTTTCTACAAAGCACGAGAAAATGCTGAAAAGGCCATAGAAATTATGCAGCGTTTAGTTCCTAGCAATCATCTGATGCTGGCTTCTGCGAAACGTGTAAAAGCTCTTATTTTGGAAGAGATTGCCCTGGACAACATAGGTGAAGGTACACTTTTTGTTGGTGTGTACTTATTTAAATTAAAAGTATATTGATAGCTCAACGACAAATAATCAAATTAATCTATGATTTTTGATTCAATAATTTTGGTAAGACTTATACAAATTTAGTTCTTAATGTGTTTATCTTCTCTAATTTTCGTTTTCGAAGTTTCTGATATTTTCCTTAAAACTTGTATCGACGGCATTTTTTTAAATTGAATAAGTATATTCATAAATGTGAACGACAAGCATAACAAATATTATTCATAAGTAAATCTTTTACTCTACAATGTTTCTAAATTTTGTTTTTGTTAATAGCAGAGAATGAACTTTTGTATGAGTCCGAAAAACTACACTTAACTGCTTTGGAATTATCTACAATGGCCTTTGGAGAACGGAATGTCCAGACTGCTAAACATTATGGAAACCTCGGGAGACTTTATCAGAGTATGAAGAAGTTCAAGGTTGGTTCAAAAGATTTTAATTTAACATATTATGAACAGGTAACCAAACAGACCAAACTGATATGCGTAGTGGACGAAATTTTAGAAAGTAAATTAGTAAAGTGAAAATTGGTAAAAGAGAGAAAAACAGAAATTAAGTCTCGTACATAAGTGAAAAAAAATCTACATGACAATTTATATAAGTTTCAATAATTTAAAATCAAAATATTCTACAAATTGTAAGTAAGCAATGCCATTATATTTCGAAGAAAATTAGAGCAATATGATAAAAGATTTTAGTTAAAATATTTGCATTGACTTATTTTTTACCAACAATGTATGATTATAAATATGTATACTATAACTCGTATAAGTATTCAAGTGTTAATTTCAAATTTGTTAATAATTTGTGCACTTTAGCTTACAATGTTTTAGAACATAAGTTTTATAAAAATGGTCAAAATAAATACTTTTAACAATTAATTACAAACAAACAGCTTTTGCTTGGATTCTTATTTTATGAAAGAATATTCATGGTGTATGCAATAAAAAACTAGGCTTCTGAATGTTTGAAATCAAATCAGTTTTATTTAAATAAATTTTTCAATTGTGTGTAAAGAAATTTGTAGAAGAAATAAAAATATGATATTATAAATTTGTTATGTAAAATCGTTGAAGAACTTGAGCAGTTACCTCTTTCATAAGTAAATCAATTGAGTGAAAGTATTCTGCTCTAGGTGGGTATTTATACCAGCCCTGCTCATAGTTATTACCATTTATTATAAATGTTCATATATTATATTATACTTATGTTAATATGTGTTAATTATTATAAACAATCATATAAAATGCAACTATATATAGTATTTTTTTAAAGTATATCTTTTCATTTGCAGGAGGCAGAAAGTATGCACCTAAAAGCGATTGCAATTAAGGAGCAATTGCTGGGATCTGATGATTACGAAGTCGGTTTATCTGTGGGTCATTTAGCATCTCTCTATAATTATCATATGCTACAATACAGGGAGGCTGAGACACTTTACCATCGCAGTATTGCTATAAGTATGGAATCTTTCACAATAATGATTGAGAATTTATATGCAATATTTAAGAGAAATCATTTGAATGATTTGAATCACAATATTCGACTTTGCACACTACTAGTGGTTTTTATTGAAGTATTACGTTTTTGAAATGCAAGTTTATGTTCTCTGGCTCGTTTTTTAAATTTTTGTTTTCTTGAACAATGTATCTATGATGCTGGACAATTTTTTAAATTCATTTTCCTCATCATTGTGTTATTTTTCTATGTCTTTTATAGTTAATGTTTTGTTTTTATAAAAAATGTCAGGTAGATCTATTAATCTTCTATAATAAAAAAAATACTATTTTTAAGATTGTTAAAATATTCATAATTCATTCTAGGTTTAAAGTTATTTGGTGAAACTTATTCAGGACTTGAATACGATTATCGTGGCCTGGTGCATGTTTATCATGAATTGAATGACAATGACAAGATGTGGCAGTATGAGGAAACATTAAGTCGCTGGAGACAATTGAGAAGAGATCAGGTAAAATAATTGTAATTGTTATAATTTAGTTTCATATATATAATATAACATAATATAAATATATGTAATATATGTCTCTTTCTCCTATATTATTACATTTATTATTATGTTAATTATTTTAGGTGCCCAATCAAGTAGAAATAGATATTCAGGAACCAATTAGTATAGAAGATGTTACACGAAGGTTTTTCGCAATGTGCAAACACAAATAAGTGGTACAAGAAGCAAAAAAACAGAAATTAAGTCCCGTACATATGTATAACAAGCATAAGTGAAAGAAATCTACATGACAATTTATATAAGTTTCAATAAATTAAAATCAAAGTATTCTACAATTTGTAAGTAAACAATGCCATTATCTTTCAGAAAAAAAAACTTAGAGCAATATGATAAAAGATTTTAGTTAAAATAAAATATTTGCATTGACTTATTTTTTACCAACAATGTATGATTATAAATATATATACTATAACTTGTATAAGTATTCAAGTGTTAATTTCAAAATTATAAATATGTTAATAATATATTCAGAAAAACTATTTGATTTAGGAAAAGTATTTTGGAAAGAGAGCAGTTTTTTAATAGTATTAAAAATTTATATATGACATTTAAATTTAAAATTAAAATACTATGTGAATACAATTTTTCATTGCTGTTATTATGAGCACATAAACTCACCATAAATTGAAACAATGAGAAAATTTTTTTGCAAACAAATAGTTTTAAACTATTTGCCATAAGAAAAGATGTTATTTTAAACAGCTTACAAATAAAAACACGAAAGAATATATGCATAAATAGTGATTATAAATCTGTGAAGCAAAATAAAATGTATAGTATTTGTTTATCATGAATATAACTAAAAAATATTTTAAAAATAGTTGTTTTGTAATTATACTTCTTGTTGCAAAATCATTTTGCAAAGTTTTAATGCTATCATATTGTAATACTGAGAAACTCTACATTTATTAAATGATTATTTGTTTGATTATTTAAATAATTAAATGATCATTTCCCACTAAGCAAAAATCCGTAATATTTATGTAATTTTTACGCAAAAAAGTTACATACTTATGTCATTTTTACGTAAGATTAATGTAAGATATGTGTCATAATTTCGCCTATTTTAAGTAATGTGGATTACGTAATATGGATTACGAAAATATTTCATAATAATAACGTAATTTTTGAAAAAAAAATGACGTGGAGGGGCCCTTTTTTACACACATACATAAATACATACAGGCATATTCGTATATATGAACACACACATACACACATATGCGTATATGTGAACACATACATTCATGAACTTAGGAATGCGTATACACATAGTATGTACATACATATATATTTTATATGTATGTACATATACACACACACACACACACACACACACATATATATATATATATATATATATACTATCTGAAAAATAAAAGAAAAAGCACATTTATATGGTATGTTTATTTTTTCGGCATATGTACACAATTTTAACATTAGCAAATCCACGAAGTAATAAATAATAATTCACAATTTTTATAAAATAATGTAATTACATATGACATATTGATCAACATTTTCATGGCAAATGATAAAAGAAATGCAAATTTAAAATTAAACTCGAAATAAAAATCATCGAAGTATCCTTTACAAAGTCTTCATAAGTTCTTTCACTAAATATTTCATGGAATATATTATGTAATTAGGAATTGTATCTTCAATTAAAACTAAATGTGGTATAAGTCTATGATGTCTTCTCTACAAAAGCATTCTCGATATCTATTTCATGGCCCATTTGTGATGAAGAAATGCATCTCGGATATAAATTATTAGTTTTCGATTTTCACCTGAAATAAAAAACATGGTAATAATTTCTATTTAACTTTTAATACATATGTTTTTTATATACTTACACAAAGCAAATGGTTTTCAAAAGGTCAAGTGATTCTGTTATAAATAATTTGTCACTGATTTTTTATTAACAATAAAATAATATTTAGAATATGAAGAATAGAATAGAAGTTATTTATATATCTAATTATTATTAAAAAAAAATTTAATAACACACACAATCAATTTTTAGGTTAATGGAGCGTTTTAGAGTAAAGATTTAAGTAATTCATGTAATTTAAGAGCCTTTAAAATACATTTATTATAAACATATATTTTCACATATTTAATATCACTTTCACATTTAATTAGCAAATTAAAAATATTAATTAGACACTACAAAACACAACACTTAATTTAAAACACATGGCTCCCATAATGCATTTCAGGATAACTTGTTAACTTGGCATCATAGCCTAGGCTAGCGGCCGGCGGCCGGCGGCTGCCTCGCAGGATTAACGGTACTTATGTCGCTTAAGGCCGTTCATTGGTTGACAGTTTCGCTCATGAAACGAAATATTCCGAAAAGTCACGAGCTGTCGATCTTTATGTAATATATCTTATATATAAAAATGGATCGCAAAATGTGTTGGTAAGCGCATAACTCAACAACGCCTGGACCAATTTGGACAATTCTTCTTTTAAAATGTTCGTTCATGTCCAAGGATGGTTCTTACGGCGAGAAAAAATCGAATAATTGCCGGGAAAAACCTTAAAAACAGCCCTTTTCTTTTTTAATCGAGTAGGCAACGAAATTTGTAGAAAAAACAATGATCTACGTCATGACATTTTGTGTAGTTTTTGATAATCTAATTTTTAATATATTTATATAAACATAGAAATATCTTTCTATTAATTAACCAGCTATATTGGCAGCCAAAACATTGATGTAAATAAATTAAATTTCAAAATTCAAGAACAAATTACAGGCGAATCAGTTGATTCGGCAACTAACCAAGACGATCCACCGGAGTTTTTAAACTCGCTGGATTTTGATAGGATTGTCACCTCACAATCTTCAATTAAAGGTTGGATCGGCAATTATAATGTTGCAAAATATTGACCAACCGCGCCTTTGCAACGGCACAAGGTTAGCGATAAAAAAACTATCAAACAACGTGATGGAAGCAACTATATTGAAAGGATTATACTACATTTACATATTATACTATACTTAAAGCAGAAGATGTTCTCGCACCGTGCATCCCAATGATTTCGACTGATGTGCCATTTGAGATTAAACGACTACAGTTTCCAGTGCGTTTATGGTATCATTAAGTGTTTGTGATATTATTTTGGTAAACCCATGTTTCTTACATGGAAAATTGTATGTTGTCTGCTCCCGTATTGGAAAACCATCAGATTTGTTTGTCTATGCGCCAGGTAATCAAACAAACAACATCGTTCATCACAAAGCACTACAATAAAATTTGAACTGATTTTTGAATTATGATTTACATGATTAAAATTACTTACTTTTAAATGCTTATAGTGTTTTATTTAATTATTTTTAATTCACACCGAATTATTACCAGGGTAACCTTTCTGTTCAGGATAATTTTTTGCAAAGAATAGAAAAAAGGTAGGAACAGAACACCGCCACATTACAATTTTTTTTGACAGGACGAAGTCTGTCGGGTCGGCTAGTATGAAATAAAATCCTCATTTTTCTTACGTAATATTTTTTGCAGGTAAATTACGTAATATTTTTGTAATTATTTCGTAATATCTTATTACGTAATGTAGATTACATATTTCTTACACTAAAATTACGTAATATTACGTAACTGGTTTAGTGGGTTGTTTGTTATTCAACCGTGGGTGTTTTATAGAGTATTTTTATTTGTTTTACCAAGAGAATAGTCGCATATCAATCAATTTGGTGCAAAGTCATGTAGAATACTGTAATCAGAACAAGGTAAATGATTTGATTCAATCCCCATTGGTTTTTTTAAATTAAATATTAGTCAACTGGCTAACTAGAAAATTAAATTTGCTGTTTTTACACAAAATTTTGATTAAAACCCAAGATTATAATATAACAAAATTTGTAATGCTCAATTGCTATCCTATCACAATCAGAAAAATACATTAATCTACTTCACATTAAGTTATAAAAGCTCCTACTTGGGTAATCCTGGTGTGACCATTTCAGCATCCAAAAGAATTGGAGACATGTGCTGAAAAATGCATGGACAACCCAGCTGTGAAGAAATTTATTCCAATTGTCATTTGTATTTTATCATATACAGTCATAAGAGATGACTGTTACATCATTATATAGTATATATTATATATTGTCGAAGACCTAAATATCTTAAGATGCTTTAAACGTCAGGCCTATGGACATAGAGCAATAGAGTGTAGAAACAAAATTGATTGTTCAATATGCACAGGAGAGCATTACATCAAAGATTGTAAGACGGATATAGAAAAATGCATAAATTGCCTTGAGTCAAATAATAAATATAAGACAAATTACAATACTAATCATAAGGCAAACAATTTCATTTGCCTTTGTTATCAGCATAGAACAAAAATCATCAGATTAGCGATTAATTACACAGACAAAATTAAAGATCAATAAAAAAAATAAGGGATATTACATCATTTATTGCAAATTCTTCATTTATATCCACTGCGTGTTTACAAACTTTGTTTGCAAAATGTAACTGGTGAAGAATTTGATAATTGTGTGAATCCTGTGACTGTAATGTGAATCACAGAAACATTATTAATTTTGAAAACAAATTTAAATTGGAAATTATAAATAGTAGGAAAGATCTAACAACCAATTCAAACATTTAACTACTACTACCGATTGGTAAAGTTTATCTAAACATTTTGTAGATTATCTAAATATTTTGTAGATTATCTGGAAAATTTGTATATTGTTTGGAAATGTATATTAACTGAAAACGTTATAAATTACCTAAAAACTATATTATCCTCCAATAGTATTCCTCCAATAGTAAATGTTAGAGATTTGGAGTAAATGATACAGATTGGAAATTAAAGGATGCCTTCAACTGTGAGTTGTTTTTAGAGCAGAATTTATAATGTTAACAAGTCTTAAACAAACAAAATAGGATAGTCTAAAAATTAATTTTTACCTCGTACAGTTTTTATTTCCAAATTAAAAAGTTTGACTTCTTCCTCGGGAAGGAACGCCATTAACAGGTTTTTTTTAAACACATCTTTCTTAGCTTACACTTTAATAATTAAAAATAATAAGTTTATAAAATATTAAAACTACGGCACAGAAGAGCAGATTATAATAATTATAGTTTGTTATACAATATTTTTGTATATGTATGTTCACTCACATTTTTTTTATTATTTTAAAATAACTGAAGGAAAACCCGCCATATTTGTTAAATGTGACAGTGATAAATGGCGCAAAAATTGATTGGGCGCGAACTTCAAACCGAAAAACTAAATTGTTCAAGAGCGCAAATTTCAAACCAAAAATTTAAATATCGATCTCACTGTAGTTAATTATTATAATAATATCATCTATAGTCATAATGTTATTGAGTATTATGAATAATTTGTACTATAATATTATTTCACCCATAGAAAAAAAATTATTTTGTGTAATATCTAATCTTTTCCGCAGTAGGCATGGTAACAAGATTCTGTATTAGTTGTTAATCAAAAGGTTATGTTATAAATATAAATGTTTATTCATTACTATTAAAAGTAAAAAGTGGAAGTCATGGACCGAAAAATTCAATGTTCATATTTATTAGATGCGTTACAGAAACTTCTAAAAGCAGGTTGGGATATATTTACATATAATAGTGATATAATTAATTATTTACAAATGTCTTAGAACTAGTGTATTTGATTTTCGAATGCCTAACCGAAACAATTTAATTTTACGCTCATTTTTTCGTATGTTGCATCTGTCATATTGGCAATGCATGCCGCTGTCATTATTCTCGCAGTATTTGTTGTTACTTTAAAGAAAAATTGTTTTTTTCCATTAAATGTGTGTTGAATTGGCAATATATTTGATAAATGTCATTTTTCATTACATTTTTATATATTTAGAATTATATATCAATCGACAATGTGGTGAAAGTACACATGCTAGTGCTATTCACAAATGTTGTGCTAAGACAGCAAAATATATCATTGTGACAAGTTTTGGTTAAACTAATAATAAAAAGCTTTAGATTATAAATAATTGCTTGTTTGTATTCATAATGTGAAACACGCGACCAACTTATGTCTATTACAAGTCCAATTTAGTATTAAAATAATCAAATAAATATGGATGATGAATATGAAGATGTTCCTGATGACTTCTTTGATGATTTTTCAAATGCAGACTTTATTGAAGGCCTAAATGTTATTGATTCTTGGGAACCACCTTTAGAAAGCTTGCCACCCAAAAATGATATTATTGTTATAGATGACTTAGACGATTGCAAGATTATAGATGAATACAATCAGAGTTCGAATGATAATGTTGCTTCGAATGGTACTGACAAAGCTGAGGAAAGTTTAGAAAAGGATTCTGATGCACTTAGAAATAGAAGTTCAAGTCGACATAGAGAGAGACTCAGGTTGATATATAATTATAAAAAATCTTCATTAGTAAGTGACATATTTTTACTAATTGTTTGATTTTTTTTAGGTTTCAGAACAGGCAGAGTGAAAGGTCACCTTTTCGAAAGTTTGAAGCTCCAGTAAGAAAATACAAAAACTCACCTCTCAGGACATCTCCTCAAAATGAAACCAAAAAACCAACTTCTTACTACGACAGAATATCTAAATCAAAGCATTCAAATGCATCACAGGAATCACGCAGCAAAAGGTCACCCTCACACAGAAGAAGAAGATCAAGAGATCACTTCATGAGATCACGCCGATCTGCTTCCAGAGATAGGCGATTGAGGCTTCGATCAAGATCCAAAGATTATTATGATGTATCAAGAAAAAATAGAAATAGATCTAGATCAAGAACTAGGTCGAGAAATAGATCAAGATCTAGGCGTAGGACAAGGTCCAAATCATTATCAATAACTAGATCTAGACGTAGATCTCGGTCCAGGTCAATTTCAAGAAGACGTAGGAATTTTAAAGATGCTTTTAGATTAGATGATGATGATAGAAGGGGGCATCATAGTAGACGAAGTTTGGATAGCTTTTCTATATCACCTGAATTAGATCATCATAAAAAAAGGTAAATATGTTTTGGAATTTTTTAAAGTCTTGGTGATATGTCCTTTGTTATTCAAACTATTTACATAAATGCATTAATTATTATTAATTAATTTCTTACTTTATTAATTATTAAAAATATGAATAGAATAATGAAATATTATTATTAATTTATTTACAACATTCCTGAAATTTCTTTCATTAAAAAAATCTAGTTGATTTCATTTAAAAAAATTCTATACTAAAGTATAAATTAACCAAAAACGTTGTGGAATTTCTGAAAATGTTGTAGATTGTTTGCAAACGTAGTAGATTGCCTTAAAATGTCAAAGGTGGTCTACCAATGTTGTAGATTGCCCAGAAAATGTTGTTGATGGTCTTAAAACGTTGCAAATTATCCAAAAACATTGTGGAATATCTGAAAATGTTGTAGATGGTCTGCAATCTTTGCCAATTGTCTGAAATCGCTGCAGATTGTCTGAAATTGTAGCAGATTGCCTGAAAATGTAGTAGAATGTCTGAAATTTTTGCAGATGGACTGAAAATGTTGTAGAATGTCTGAAAATGTTGTAGAATGTCTGAAATCATTGCAGATTGTCTGAAAATGTTGTAGAATGTCTGAAATTGTTGCAGATTGTCTGAAAGTGTTGTAGAATGTCTGAAATTGTTGCAGATTGTCTGAAAATGTTGTAGAATGTCTGAAATTGTTGCAGATTGTCTGGAAATGTTGTAGAATGTCTGAAATCATTGCAGATTGTCTGAATATATTGTAGAATGTCTGAAATAATTGCATGTTGTCTGAAAATGTTGTAGAATGTCTGAAATCGCTGCAGATTGTCTGAAATTATTGCAGATTGTCTGAAAACGTTGTAGATAGTCTGAAATCATTGCCGATTGTTTGAAAATGTTGTAGATAGTCTGAAATCATTGCAGATTGCCTGAAAATGTAGAAGAATGTCTGAAATGTTTGCAGATTGTCTGAAAATGTTGTAGGTTTTATGCAAATGCTGAGAATTGTATTAAAATTTATAAATTGTTGGAAAAATTTGTAAATTATCTGAAAACATGCACTTACATGCACTATATTGTCTGTAAAGAATATTGATTGTCTGAAAATATTGTACGATAAATATATTAATCTTACTAGAACTACCATTGATGCAGTTTTTGCAAGGAATATTAAATTATAAGTTTGAAAATTACTTATCTCACTTCATTCATCATAAATGTATTATAAATTTGGATTTGGATATTGCTCTATTATTTATTGTAAATTGTTAATGAAACTTTGTCTCAAGGAAACAATGTGAATTCACTAAAAATCATATTGTAATTTAATTTGAAATTTACTATAGTCTATAAATATAATTTGCATTTGTATGTATCATTTCAGACATGCTATTGATAGCCAGAAATTCGATATACGTCGCCAAGATCCTTTATTAAATATTCCAACTTCATCAGCAGCTAAAGAACTTAAAATTAATACTCAACCAGTAATGTACAGCCCAAATCAAACCTTCGAATCAGAGTATAACATGACTGCAGTTACTTGCGCTCCACAAATGCCTCCTTTTCAATACTATCCCCAACAACCATATCCTATCAACCCACAATTCATGCAAATGACTCCAACGTATATGAATAATGCTCAGATCAATGTACCAGGACAAAATCTAATGCCGGTTCAGAATTTACAATATAATTTTAACCAGAATGCAAACATAGCCTTGCCAACAATACCAGAACAAAAGTCTTTGATCAAAAATGAACCGGTTGTAGAAAATAAAGCTCAGGTTGCTAGAAATAAAGTGGAGATCGATGCTAAGAAGGTAAATGACAATATTAAATAAAAATGATACTGATACACTAATTTATTTTAAATATTTTTTTTAGTTGTTTGCCGAAAAGAAATTATCATTGTCTGAATTTTTAACAATGTCAGCAAAGCGCATAGGTCAGTATAATATTTATTTAGTAATAACAAATCATCAGCATTACTGTATATTTCTTTTTTACAGAATCATCAGACAAAGACACAGGCAAAGTGGAAAATAAAGTTAAAAGTAAGTTTTTGTTTTATTTGATACTTATATTAGGTAATTAAGTTGTTTAAATATTTTAGTTTTGAGCGAAAATAATATTTTTATATTATATAATTCGCTCCGGCGGCAAAATTCATATTAATTTCGGAATTCGCGAGTGGAAAGGGTTGGTGAACATTATGTTGAAAATAATTAGCTTGATGATTGTAATTTTTTTTAAAAAACTTTATGACTATCTACAGCAACTCGGTTTACTTATAAATCGTTTAGAAATCTTAATAGTAGTACAAGCAATTTGCCTGAAGGCAAAATGCCATTTACATGTAGTAATTTTCAGAAAGAGAAGTTTATTTTTGCCTAAACATCTTATTTGCTAATTTTGTTTTCTCGATGTTTCAAGTCATTTTGAATCGAATTAACACAAGTCAGTAAGTACAAGCAATTTGCCTGAAAACAAAATGCCACTAGCATCTAGATTTTATTTTTATATTATATATATATATATATATATATATATATATTAATATTAATATATATTTGCCCTAAAATCTTCGTTATTTGATGTTTTATGGACGTTTCAAGTCATTCTGAATCGAATGAGATCAAATTTGGCTAGCGGTGCGTGGCATCGTGCCTTCAAGCAAAGTGCTGGAATTTCCCATACCATAATGAAATGGTCAAGAAATTTTAAATGTGCCTGAATTAAAATTAAAACTAGTTGGTATTGGTATTTTGCCTTGAGGCAACTTACATGAACTTCCCGAAATGTGTAAGAAATGACTTAATCAATCGAAATTGAAATTTAGATATTTAGATAAAATTTTCAACTGTTTATTTCATAAATAAAATTATCGTTTTTCATTAAATCTAAACATTGCGATTTCGAATAGAATTTTCTCAAACACATTTGGATTTTCTGTAATTATATTAACTATATTGCACAGACACGTGCTTTTATGCCCTAAAATTGTCGCTTATTATTTTAAATGTTAATGAATTGATAATGTTTGACTCATCACATCACAAAAACAACTTTTGACACAAATTTTGACTATAATATTTTCTCAAACTTTGATGAATTTTTAACATTAAACTATTTGTCGTAGGGCGGTAACATTTTAGTATGTTCTATAAGATATCTATTGTCAAAAACAAGCTTCATAAAAATCTACAAAAAAAAAGGGTGCGCATAAGGTTGACACGCGATTGAAGTAAAACTTATTTGCTAGTGTACAAGATGGCATTTAAGTAAAAATAATACATCATATAACAATTTTTAATATTGTTTATTAGAAATATGGTAACACTCGTGATGCTCACATTTATTAGTGTCAACCATTCTACACATTTGTACACTGATAAATTATAAATTATATATTTATAATAGTATTAAAAACATGTGTAATAATTAAAAACAATAATGTAATTAAAGTCATACTTCAAATATGACATGATCAGTCTGTCATTGTAATTAGCATTTAGAAATGAACTATATGAGAACGATGAATATTAAATGTAATGACAGTTTCAAAAGTAATACAACGGTGACATCAGAAGCACCTATAGAAATGAAGTAATTGATGATTAATAAATTCTATAATATTCGTACATACAGTGGACTATGTTAAACAACGCCTAAACAAATATTGTTTTCGCATCTTCAATCATCATGTAATAATTGTGTTTGAAGAACTTCATGTAGTTAAAATTAACATACATTCATTGACTGCTTGTATTTTTGTTACTTTTTCGCTGGCGGTATAATCTTATTCTTTAAACAGCTGTAATATCTGTCTTGCCTAAAAAATATTTTCCATTTTAATAATTTCAAAGATTTATAGAAACTACGAATAATATAGAAATAATTTCTAAGGAATAGGGTGAAATATTCTTCTGAATCAGGCATTTTTCATTAAATCAAGATTTGTACTACGATGTAACTTTAAAATTTTTATCTGTCTATGCTAATACCCTTGTCGATATCGGTACGCATACAACGTTGATGCCGGTACGCATACAAAGACATATCTCTATTCACATACACGACGACTAATCACAATCGACCCGTATTGAAGTGATTTCATCGAGAGCGAATAACGTACAGTTTTGGCGTAACACATATCCGTTGCATTTGTACGCCTAAAGAAGTTTACTTCAACAATTTTATAAACACACATTTATGAAAAAACATAAAATTAGCGAATCGGATTTTTTTATGAAACAAACTTCTCCTTCTGAAAGTTAGTAAAATACATTTTTAGAAACTGAAATGCATGAAATGAATTCTGTTATTAATTTAATTTTTACAATTACAGATATTATAAGTATTATAATTTTTAATTTTTAGTTCTATCTCGCTGTAATGAGGTATTAAGTTACCTCAATGAGTTGGAAAGGTTTCCAAAAGAATTTATTTACAATGATAAACGTTATGCAGACTTTCAAAGAATAATAAATCCTGCTTTACAATATTGTTCCCCGCTACGAAAAATAAAGGTGTCCAGATTTCGATTTACAACAATGCCAGAAGCGATATTAAAAAATAAAACACAAAGAATTCGAAGCTACATGAGAACGATGAATATTAAATGTAATGACAGTTTCAAAAGTAATACAACGGTGACATCAGAAGCGCCTACACAAGTTCCAGGGAAATATCATAAGTTTGTACAGACTGACAAATATGATTGTCTCGACTGTAAAATTCGTAAAGAGACAAAGATGGTAGATCAAGGTTGCCAAGTCAATGTGGAAGAACTTAGAACTTTATCCAACGAATCATCTACAACAAGATTTGATGATAGACCCCAACCAAATACTTTTAGACAAACAAATCCACGCGATTTCAGATTTCAAAATGTTCACCCTTCCAGAAACAATATCCCTTTGAACAGGGGACTGATGAATCCTTGCCAACTTTTGAATGCTCAAGACGGCATGGATTTTTCTGAAGACTTCGATCCAGCACAACTGGATTTGAGACAGACTTTTCCTTTTTCAAATGGACGAAATCCTAATCAGAATATTATAGGTAGCCCAGGAAATAGTAAAAGAAAACGTAACAGGAGCAGAAGAGGCGGAAAAAAGGTTTAAATAATAGATAATTAAGATTCAGTTTAAATTTTTCATTTAATCATTCATGATTTATTAAGTAGTTTTCTACAAACTTATTAGCATTTAAGACCAGTTGTAATGAACCGATTTGCATTTGGCAGGTCCTGTAAATATACTTAATATTTTTAAGAATTAAATGTTTTTATAAATTTTTATTTCAGAACACAATTTTAAGATCACTTGGGCACATATGATTTTCGGATTCTAGGGATCAAAATAAGATACTTTGCAGAAGAAACCATACCTCTAAAATGAATTCTGATGTCCCGTGCATTGACCCAAAGATGAGGGTTAAATTTTGAAAAACCTTTCTGGGGGGCGAACAGCGGGCATGGGTGGATTGACCTTTCCAAGATAGTGAGGGTTGTTTATGCATTTGGACGCGATTGGGGCACTCTGAAATGGGTCAAAATGGAATTTTTCAAATTTTTACCTTTGCTTTTGGGTCAATGCACGGGACATCAGAATTCATTTCAGAGGTATGGTTTCTTCAGCAAACCATCGTATTTTGATCACCAGTATCCTGTAAATATATATATATCCGTCAGTATATATATATATATATATATATATATATATATATATATGAGGTTTTTCAAATGCTGAAAGATATTAGATGAAATGTTTTCAGACATCCATTAAATAATAAAAAAAAAATTGTTGAAGAAGAATGTCTTCTCATCCTCAGTGCTACATTTAAAAAAATTACATGGTAAAATAATAACATATTTCCAGAACAATTATGATAACTAAATAATGTGGAAAATAAACGAAAAAGATTTATAACATAAAATTTGATGCTAAAATATATAGAAACAAGAACAGTTAATACAAAGTTATGGTTAAAAGTAAGTAACTGCATATTACTTTATATTTACTGCTTTATCTCTATAAATATTTAGCATTGAATTTCATGTTATTAACCTTTTTCATTTGTTTTCCAAATTACTTTTAATATTCAGTTATTTTAGAAATAATTTATTATCTACTTTGTAATTTTTTCAACATAGAACATAAGACAAGACAAACAGACTTGTTAAATTTTTATTTTATTATTGGGTGGTACTCGAAAACATTTTATATATATATATACTAGCTGACCCGGTAAATTGCATGATTTTAATCATGTATGCATTACTTATAAGTATCTAAAGTATGAAATTAGTAACAAATCTATCATCAAATCTATCAAAATATGAGATACATTATATACATATATATATATATATATATATATATATATATATATATATATATATATATAAATTAACAAGGTCTAGTAATCGGGCATATTATTAATAAAAAATATGAATTTCTTTCAAAAATCTATGTTACATCCACACGTTTCGGTTATAATCCTAGCCCTCATTCAGGGAAAACTAAAAATAAAATTAGAACAAAAACAATTGAGTGAAAAGAAAAACAAATATAAAAATAGTACTTACAATTAGTTATTCGTAGTGTTAAATTAGGGGATTTTAATAATCTATGGTATAAGGAAATGATAATGCAAACTATATAAACATTAAATTTGTCATTGAACAATATTTCACAAAATACTAACTTAAAAAGATCCCAAATAGATAGTTTGTAATATATGTGTTGTGCGTAAAGTGGTAGAAGTCATAATAGAAAAAATTGTTTTTTTAATATCTTACACATGTGTGGAACGAATTGCGAATCCTTTGCGCGACATTTTTATTGTTTTATGAGAAATTTGGAAATGCTATCTAAATAAAAGAGATTTGTGTGGCACAGCGTATTAAGTACATTCCGTTTATTTATTGTCTTATTGTTATAAATAGTCAAAAAAGATCCTTCTTTAATCCTTGGTTTAAATAAATTTTGTTCGAATTTTAGTACAGCGGGGTTAGAAAAGTCTGTATTGTGTTTTAAAGTATTAATGTGGTCCGCAAGCATAGTTTTGAATTGTCCGGGATTTTTTGAATTATTTTTGTGTTTTTGTAAACATTTAATTAAGTTCTGGCTTGTTAATTATTAAAATAATAAGAAATTATTATATAATTTAATACGAATGTAAAATATGAGTTAAACCTAATTTTTTTGAGGTAGTTATTAGTGCTAATGCACAATATTCCCAAGAAAAAAAATCTCATTTGCAAGGTATGCACTTGAATTATTTTTCTTGAATAAATAAAATTTGAAAACATCAAATCAACTTAAAATATCATAAATCATGCAAGAAATTTGAAAATATTAGGAATGGGTACATATTATATATATATATATATATATATATATATATATATATATATACATATAATATGAAAAGTGAGCATAGTGTTTTGATCGGCGCACCGCAACAGACGAAAATGAAAAGTCGACCACGCCTGGGACACCGCCCGCTAATATCCCTATATTACCGATAAATATAAGCAAAATATGCATTCCATTTTTTATTTGAGGCTACCGTTTTAAACATTCAGACAGCAAAAGCGCTTCAAGTGCTCCGGATCAGATAAAAGTGTCATACGTAGAGGAAAAATAATAAAACATTGAGAAAACTCTCGTGTTGCTATGTCATGTGATCCGTGCTCGTTTTTCTCAGTGGATCCAACACGAAGGAAACGATTGTCGTGGATTATGTAGAGTGCGGGGATCGCAGCTTTGAAATACCTATCTAGTATTAATATTTAATTCGTTTACAACTGTATTTTTTATATTTCAATTGTATTTTTTATAATATTTTTGATGAGCGAATCATTTAAAAGACTTGTCTGCACCAAAAATTAATCAGCACGTCTTCTCATCAATAGGAATCGAATGTTTTTGAAATTATTCAAATTTGTTAATTCGTGCGCCCGAAATCGTGAACGAAAAATTGTATCCAAACATTCATACATACACACATATATACATCCATTTTTTCTAAGGTCTGCCAAAATATTCAGAAACCTTTGAAACGTGAAAATATGTAAAAAAAATATTTTCGATTTTTTGCGAGTACTATAAATAAATAAATCAACAATGTTTAAAAGTTATACAATAGTATTCTAATTATTTTTATTATTCTCATTACGTTGATATAGCATATATTAAATAATTACGTTGATATAGCATATATTAAACTGTAATTATGAGAAAAATTATAGAGTTTAGAGAAGATGTTTTACATTTTAATGTGGAAATAGAAAAATAGTGGAGCGTAGAAATTGTTTTTTTGCCGACTCGTTTTGTTTATTTAGGTAGGGTTTATTAATTTTATAAACATTGCTTCGTTAATAATTCGCAAATTAATGTTTTTTTTAATTCTTGTTTTTCGTGTTATATCTAAATCTATAACATCTACAATGGCATGAATTATGATAACTAAAGTAAGTTACCAATTGTTTGAGTTTTAATTTTTCAGTATTTCTTGCAAATATTACACCAATGATAACATGCATTTATTTTGGTTTTTAGATCATACCTATCATTTATTATTTCTACTCCAAATTTTCCCTTTTGGTTAATAATGTTTCAGATGCAGGTGACGAGAAATTAACATTAAAATCTTTCATAAAAGTCATGCATTCATCTATGACTAAATAAACAAGTTCTTTTCCAGTTATGTCTTGCGAAAAGAGTTTGTGAACTCTTTTCGCAAGTAGTGGTAATAAAGATTTTGTAGTAAATAATTTAAGATCTCTGGTTATTGGTGAATGTGGTGGGAATATAAAAGGTAATTAGAGTCAATTTCTTTGGATTATTTCTGCTATTTTGCTCTACAGCTCCAATTCCTTTTATTTTAAAATAGTTAAACAAGGGTTATCAGAGTAAGGAGCTTTTAGGTCCAAGTGTGAAATATATTAACAATAGGACATTTAATTATCAGATTGTGATAGATAGCAACAGAAACATTACGAATTTTTTTGTTATGTTGACCTCTTACGATAAACAAAATTTGGAAGGAGAACAACAGATTCATTTCTTTTCTAGTTAGTTAGGTAACTGGTATTTATTAGGTAAATCGATGGCAATTAAATATTTTTCTTTATTCTGGTGACAGATCAAAAAGCATTTATAATTTTTTCTCCTTTTGTAGACCTTTTTTTTTAATGATCAAAGTTAATTGATAAATGCTCGACTGTTCTTTTGGTAAATCAAATAAATTAATCATTCTTCAAAAGACTGATTGAAGTATTCAGACGTTTAACTCAAATTTTTGCAAGTTGAATTAGAAATTTAAACTCACAAATAATTGTTGAAGACTGTAAAATGAAAGTTTCATATAAAATAATACTCCGATTCATTTTATATAAAGAAAATTTTGAAAAAGAAGTAAATGAATTTTATTATTATACACAAATAATGTATACTATAATTACAACTATAGTATAACTTTATTATAAAAGCTATAAATTAGTCTTTATATAAAATAATTTGTTTCATAAGAAGAAAATTTGATCAAAATCCAAATAAAAATAAATTTTTTTGCATTGATAATACGAAGGTACTGTAATTAAAACTAAATTATAACTTCATAAATTATATAATATATTGTGAAATAATTTTATATTTAGTATTTTGAATTTTTTATATTTAGAACATTTGAATTTGATTTGACGTTTTATAATTAAATAATGCATGGATAAAAATGTGATAGGAAATGCGCTATCCACCTTCCGCTCACATAGTCCATGCCCCATATTTCTTTCTCACAATTTGATATTATGGAGTCAGTCAGCGCTACGAAGGCAGCCATGTTGCCGCGTCTTGTGTCTGTGTTTTGTCTCAAATTGAATTAATGTTTAATTTATATGTTGATAAGAGGAATCTCCTTCGCCGCAATGAAGGATTCAAGTGATCTATCAAATTAATCACAAATGGTGACTCATTGACTTAAAATTGTGTGTTTTATCCATAAAAATTCTCATCGCCCTATATTATAAGCATGCAATACATATACACACGGCCGAGGTGAATGTACCTGAAATCGAAAATGATGATTTCATGATTTTTTGCCGAAAATTCGAGAATTTTAGCATCAAGATCGGTAGATTGAAGATGTAATAGTGGTGTGATGAAGTGAATTTTAAGTGAAGAATCGAGTTTGTTATAAAATTTTAGGTGTTTTTATTTTGGTTACACATACATATACATACATAATAGGCGGTGCATTACTAGCGCGAGACGATACGGACGGGTCTATTTTACTTCTGTACTAAGGGGAGGACCGATTTTGTTTTAATATTAAATTTATAAAAGGAAATAAATAATAAAAAGTGTATAAGTTGAAGAAAAACATGATTTATGACAGATAAATTATAAATTCAAAACTGTCATGGATGTTAGCGAGTTCACGAGCTGTCAGAACAAAGGGATAATTGAAACAGTGGTCGGTAACATTAACACAAAAGTTTTTATTAACACGCAGAGGTGAGATTTGATCAAAATTTTACGACTTAAATACAAATTTAAATTTCGCGCGTTTCACATTTGATGCTGCAAAGTTCATGTTGGCACCACCTTTGCGATGACTTTGTAGTCACGCATTATGGTTTGTTTACCTCTGCAGAAAAAAACACTTGTTCCATTGGAAATAATATTTTAACATCAAAACCACACAATCTGGAATCAAGCTGATAAAAGGATTTTAAACAACAATATTAAAAGGCGTCTTTTTAATTCTTCAACAATTGGATTGTCAATAGATAAAATGTATGTGCGTCGTTGAAAGAAACAACAGTGAACCAAGATATAATTGTCATGTCGTCTTATTTATAAATACATAAGTGCATTTGTGATATTTAAAGGTATCTAAAAATATATTTGTTTTTAAACGCGACGCAAAAGGACAATGCTTTTGTTCAAAGCGACCTATTTGAAAATGGCGTATATTTTAGGTAAAACCGCTGACGGATACTCTTGATAATATTCAGTAGTGAAAAATAACCCGTATAAGGAACATATATTGTACTGTGTGTAATAAAATTAGTGACCTAGTGACGATTGGTGTTAGTCAGCTGGTTCTAATTAGCGAAAAGCATTCACGATTTTATGTTTTTAAAATGCATTTTTAATATTTTAATTTTGAGGCATGGCTTTGCCGAGTGCACCAGTGGCCTAAGAGGCATTAGTGAAATTAGTTTTCTATTCTTATTAGTTATGGTACAGTCCAGACTTAGTTGAGTTTATATCCTTTATGTCCTGGTCATTTAAAATTAAAAGGCATGCAGGTTCTGTAGGATTTTAAATGGTGGTTTTTAAAGTTGAGGATAGTTATCGTTAAGATGCCTCAGCAGCGGTCGGAGGCGACGGCCGCGGCCAGCAAAAGACGAGCAGAGACACAATTGACATCGATCAGTGCAACTGTTGGATGGGAGAAACAGCATGACAAACGTAAGTCTTTTCTTAATAGGCAATCGAATATTTTTGGCCATTTTCATTTTTGCATACCTGTTGAAATAAATGACAGAAACTATTAACTTCTCATAATAGTCCAGTCATTATAGTAAGTTCACCTAGGAATTCGAGATACCCAGCTGTAAGTCTGTAAATACTTGTATGTTGACACTTAAAAGTTGTCTCAAAACCTACACACCCTACCATATGTTGAGATATTTGAGACAACTTTTAAATGTCAACATAAGTATTTACAGACTTATAGCTGGGTATCTAGAATTCCAAGATTCTTTCGTTTCAAATTTTTACGTTTCAAAGGTTGCTGAACATTCTGACATACCTCAGAAAAAATGGATGTGTGTGTGCGGATACAAATTTTTGTCGGCGATTTTGCGAACGCGGATCAACCGATATGAATAATAATAAATTCAAAAAAAACAACGATTCATACTGATAAGGAGACGTGCTGATTAGTTTCTGGCAAAGGCAGGTCTAGCCGTTTCGGAGATACAGGGAAAAAAGTTTGATCTCTTTTTATTCTTCATTATTTATAAAAATATGCAACTTTGTAATACTTAATAGCCACCCTGATCGAAAAACATGCAGACTTCTTCTGAACTTCCAAAAGTGTCTGAGAGAGATATAATAAGTCTGTAAATACTTGTATATTGACACGAAACGAATTAAAAGAACAATAAATAATGAATTTACAAAAGAATATTTGTAATTAAAAAAATCCAAATCAATATAAGACAATGCTTTCGGAACATATCATTAGTTTAAACCACACTTTTCATACCAAGAATTCTATTATTTTACATAAGGAAAGTATAGGAATATAAATCTATTTCTTATCTCTTCACAATTATCTTTGTTTAATTAACCTCAAATTTTTCAGTTCAAATTTTGCAAAAATAATGGTATTAACACCTTATCGTATGTAGGTTTTGAGACAACTTTCAGGTGTCAATATACAGACTTACAGCTGGGCATCTCGAATTCCAAGATTCTTATCTAATTTAAGCTTAAATGACTGGATTATATTATATATTCCAGAAGCACTGATTTTTTAAAATATTAGTTTTGTCTTTACTTAGGTAGTTGAATATTTTCAGCCTTTTCAGTTTATATATACTTGTTCAAATAAATAAAAGAAACGACAGTATGTTCAGTATTTGAAAACCTTTCTTATCAAATATTTAAGTAGCACCGATTTTTTTTAACTTCCTGTAGGGTAAGTTATAGTATTCACAAAAAAATCGAAAATGAAATCTTTTATATATCTACGTTTCAATGGTTTCTGAACATTCGGGCATACCCTAGAAAAAATGGAAGTATATGTGTGTATGAAAACATAATCACGATGACCAATCACAATCGACCTATATAGAAATAACGAATCATTGGCACTCGACCCGGCCGTAACGCTTCTTCCGTTGCATTTGCACAGATTTACCCCCTAGTCGCGCCTAAAGAAGTTTTACTTCAATAAATTCAAGAAACGACGTTAGATTTAGTATTTGAAAACCTTCCTCATCAAATATTCAAGTAGCACCCATTTTTTAAAAAAAATATTAGTTTTATTTAGTTTAGGTAGTCGAAAATTCAGCCTTATTCATTTTTACATACCTGTTGAAATAAATAAGAAGAAACGACATTAGATTTTTTACTGGAAAACCTTCTTTATTACATACCTGTTTAAATAAATAAATGAAACGACCTTTGGAAACCTTTGAAAAGTATGCAGATCATTTTCTTTTTAAAAAATATTATACAGGGTGTCCCAGAACTCAACATGAATTGGGGTGACAGAGTTAATTGTAACCACGTGAAGCGAAATTAGAAAAAAAAATCTATGCTGTTTGAAAATTATGAGTATTTTGTAAAACCTAGATCTTTGGCCAAACTGTAACAATTTTTCCCGTTATTGTGGTTAATTTTCATTATTTTCCTTCATTTAAACATTGGAATTGTGAACCTAAATAACATTTCTAGGAACCGAGTCAAAAATAATGATTAAATTATTATAATTAAACTAACAAAGTACAGTTTCCAAAATGTGTCGTCTTTGAAAGGAAGATTTTTTCTTACATTTTTTATAAAAAGTATACCAACTGAATGGGATTTTTTTTGCTTACATTCAATCCTGACTTGCTTGACGTTGAATTCTGGGACACCCTGTATATGTTATCAACTGTCCTTCTCTAATTTCTTAATTCACAATTATAAGTTGTTAATATTAATATGATGGTACACCCCATTCTGAATCAACGTTGAGTTCTGGGGCACCCTGTATATATTTTCAACCGTCCTTCTCAAATTTTGTAAATTACAATTTAAAATTTTTATGAAACACATAATTTTTATTTTTATTTCTGCGCAGAGAAAATTGTTAACTGAAAATAAATACATATTTATGTGGGATGTAATCAGATATTCCATTTCTCACTAAAGAAAATGCCAGTCTTATTTAGTATCATCTTTCCATCGCATATTTCATATAAAGTAGTAAATCAATAAATTAAATAGTTTTGCAGGATATGACCTTTTCTTTTATAGTACTTCTTAGAAAATTGTTTTGAGTCATCATCGCTGGAAAAAATCTGTTTTAAATGTGAACACAGCATCGTGGTACTTTACTCTTTGGAATTGAATAAAATGGTTATGGATGATATATCTTTATATATAAATTTAGAAATGAATTATCGTTTTACTTCGTATATCAAAAATTAATGAAATAATCAAAAGCGCGGTAATTATATATCAAAATTTTGAAACTGTAAATGTGCTAATTCATATAAATAGAATCAGTTTCAGATTAGGTTGGTTCTTGCAAAGACTATTAATATTATCCAGGAGCATTTATATGTGACGTGCTTTGCAGTGGATAAACTATTCATATGTTATTTGTTAGCTGCCCTTTTCACTTGCATACCAATATGCAATCAATTAGTTATTTTCATACTAGACATATTTTTTATGGCAAAACAACGTTTGCCGGGTCAGCTAGTATATATATATATATATTCTAAAAATGTTAATTTACAACCAATCGTCGAATTAAAAGAACAATAAATAATAAATTTACAAAAGAATATTTGTAATCCAACAAATCCAAAACAATATAAGACCATGTTTTCCGAACATATGATTTGTTTAAACCATACTTTTAATACCAAGGCTCCTATTATATTACATACGGAAAAAAACAGTGATATATATATATATATATATATATATATATATATATATACACGAGTATATATATATATATATATATATATCAATTTCAAGGAAAATGATTTTTTTTTGAAAACACATGGTTTTCCAATGGCTATAAAAGATATTCTTAATGTGCGCATTTTTGATGCTTATCAAATCGTACTCTGTCCTTTATAATACGCGCAGTTTAATTATAATGTGATCTGTGATATTTTTGGCGTTATAGAAATAACTAGCTGTAAGTGGAATTCTGTCTTAAGGCAATTAAGGCATCGTGCCTTAAGGTAAATTGCTGGAACTTCCCGTACCAAAAATTATTATTTTTTTAAAAACGATTAACATTTTTGAAAAAAATTTACTTCGAAAAAATAAGATTTTTGACAAACAATTAGACAAAAAATTACTTTTTTTTGAAAAAAAAAATTTTTTTTTAATTTTTTTTTTTTTTTGAAAAAAAAAATGTTTTCTTTATTTTGACATATTTTGAAAGATCTAAACTTTTTTTCAAAGCAATCATACTGCTTTAACTGCATAAAGACGAAATATCAAACCGCGCCGCGTCGACGTCTAACGCGTAAACATTGGTACGGAACCCATAGGAATGTAAACCAAAATTATACTTATTGTTAAAATCTCTATAAAATATCTGATAATTTGATGTGCATATGTCTAATGATCATTTTTGACCGCCAAATGGCTTTTTTTTTTTACTTTTTTCATTAGATCTCCGAAACCGCAAGACCTGCCTTTATGAAAATTTGATCGGTTCTTTACCTTGTCAATACAAGTAAAATGTTTTTTGAACTATTAAAATCGGACGCTCCGTTCTCTTAAAAACTGAGTTACCGTTTTCGGCACTTTTTGGCCCGTATCTTCGGAACGGCTAGACCTGACTTCGCCAAAAACTAATCAGCACGTCTCCTTATCAATACGAATCGAATGTTTTTTGAATTATTCAAATCGGTTGATCGGTATTCCCGAAATCGTCGACGAAAATTTGTATCCGCACATACATACACACACATACATACACACACACACATACATCCATTTTTTCTAAGGTATGCCAAAATATTCAGAAACCTTTGAAACGTCGAGAAATGCAAAAAATTTCATTTTCGATTTTTTTGCGATTACTATAACTTACCCTACGGGAAGTTAATAATATAAATATAGAAACACGTATTGAAATAATTTTAGAGGCACATTTACGTATAAGTTAGCTCTGTTATTTTACTACACTTTTATAAAAAAATGATTTAAGTCTATTGGTTTTATTTGTATTGACTTGCAAATTTAGGATACTTCTAATATTTAATTCTGTACTGTTCAAGACAAACAGTTAACTTAGATGTAGATTTAATTAAATTTATTAGAAAAAAAATAGTTTATTCGACACAGATAAATATTTAAAATACCTATTACAAAATTGTTCAAAATTCATTCATGAATGAAATAATTAATATGAATCCAGAACGTCGTAAAAGTCGTTGATAATTGTTATCAACGTGACGCAGATCATGGGAAAATTTTCTTATCTCTGTTTCAAACAATTTTATTTATAATGAATGAAAGGGAATTTCTAAAATACACTCCGAAGTAAATTTTAAATTTAAATTACGCATTTGAACACATAAATAAAAATTAATATTTTTTGTCTCGCTTTCTAGAGCATTTAATTAATCATCTACCTTATTTTTATATCTTTTTACATAGTATACATTAAAATTTTATCATATTTATTTTTCACCTACATGCAACATTTTTGTTTCCTG